CACAGGATCGCGCTGTCTCTTGGCGCGGCCGCTCAGACCCGACGCCATCTTCAAAAGCCCCTGGACTGACTAATTTTAATAAAATCTTTCCTGATAATCAGTATGGGTAATGCGTTTGGCAACTATTTATGAAGCACCAGCTATTTACAGGACAGAAGGTTCTGGTGATACAAAAATTAATAAAATTTGTTACCTTCATAATTTAAGGTGTGACCAGCTAAGCATGTGAAGGAGACAGTTAATGTGATGAGGATTCTGATAGAGGTGTATACAAGGTACAAGGCAAGTATAGCAATAGCTGGTTTATAAATAACCTATTAATTGTACATCTAGCCATAACCTATGAACTCCTTTATGAATCTATGAGCCTTTGCTGTGTCAGGCAAATCTAGTTGGTTTTGCCTTCATACTAATTTCCCTGTCTGTTCTCTTTTCTCCTTAGTGATCTCCTTGTTGGCAAACTTGTCTCCCTTTCACATATTCAATGCACCAAACAAGTAGAATAATATTTTTTAAATGTAAATGAAATCAAGGTTCTTTGTTACTTAAAGCTCTCCAGTAGTTTCTTATAATATTAGAATAAAAGTTAAACTCCTTGTCAAGGGTTTCCAAGGCTCATGTGACCTTACCCTTCTCACTTCTAATTTCTTAAAGCTCTCTCACCCTTATTTGTTGTGTTTCAACCACACTGGCATTCTTTATGTTCCTTAAATACACCAATCTTCTACATGCACTTGGACCTTTGCAACTACCATTCCTACTATCTGAAGCATACTGCTTGCAAATCTTCACATAACTATTGTTCAAATTTCTATTTAATGTCAGTTCCTCAGCCTGGCCTTCTCTGATCACTGTCTCCAAATGTTTTCCCGACCCCTTCAAAGTACTTATAATTGTCTGTTATTAATAGATTTATTTTGTTGTCTGTCTCCCCCACTGTAATATAAGCTACAGGCTGTAGGAACTCTTGTTCACCTTGTATCCCTAAGGTTTGGAACAGTACGTCACATATACTAGTTGCTCAGAAAATATTGGTTGAATGAATGAATGAATAACTTTGGTACAATTTGGTCATAGAGCTTATTACCCCTTGAAGTTATCTTTTCCCTGTATTTACTTGTTACTTTATTGCCTGTTCTTCCCACCCACCCTACCAGAGCATCATCTTGTTTACCTTGTTCATTTCTATATCCATGGAGTGTTGAACAGTTATTGGCCTATACGTAGGGGTGCTGTCAGTAAATATTTGTTAAATGAATGAATAAACTAGTAAGACAATGTATTCAGTTTTTAACGATCTTAAAATCAAGAAAGAAGAGAAACATTGCTGTGACAGAGGATAAGCAAGGTATTGTGAAAGTTCCAGAGAGATTGAGATGAGGAAGGGAAGGGCGAATCTCACCTGTCAAGGCAGGAGCGTTAAGGTTTGTTCTGTGCTTTGGGATGAAAACCCCTTACCACTCCCCAGTCAGGGAATGCAGTCAGTCATGATCGAGAGCAGAAACTAAAGAAAATTTCACACATGGCAAATAAATCCTACTGGGTATCCACATTAGTTGCGTTCAGTAAATAACCGTTAATAAATGCTGTCACTATTTTTAGAAACACTCTATCAGATTCACAATAGAGGCCCTGCCCACTCCTGATCTGTATTCGCGCTAATGAACCACATTTCCCAGCATGCACCAGCATGATGGCGGCTGAGTTTTAAAAGACTACAGCTCCCGGCATGCCGCGCGCAGCGAGGTCTGCACGCCGGGCGGCCGACGCGGGCCGGCGGGGGCGGGGCGACCGAGGGAGCGGCGGCGGCGGAGGATGGAGGCGGTCGTCTTCGTCTTCTCTCTCCTCGACTGCTGCGCGCTCATTTTCCTCTCAGTCTACTTTGTATCCTTGCCCGAGGCTGGCAGAGGCCGGGGTCGGGCTGCGGGTGGGCCTGCTGAGCGCCGGGCTGGCGTGTGGGAGCGAGCGAGGAGCCGGCCTGCCTTCCGCCCTCCGCCGGCCACCACCGTGGGC